GAGAGAGAGAGAGAGAGAGAGAGAGAGAGAGAGAGAGAGAGAGAGAGAGAGAGAGAGAGAGCAATAGAGAAAGATAGAGAGGCAGAGAGTAGATCCAAGTATTTTCATTATAGTAAGGTTTGGATAGGTCACCAAATACAACGAAACGAAGTAAAACAAAAAAACTTCAACAAGAACACATCTCTGAATCAGGTGGATAGGTCACCAAATACAACGAAACGAAGTAAAACAAAAAACTTCAACAAGAGCACATCTCTGAATCAGGTGGATAGGTCACCAAATACAACGAAACGAAGTAAAACAAAAAACTTCAACAAGAGCACATCTCTGAATCAGCCTATTTATTATTATTTGCCAAAAAAATCCTTCTTAATTGCACCATTAATAAACTTTCCTAAACTAGCAGCAAATATACTGACTGCAGGCGCGACCAATTTTTTTTGCATCAGAATTACGTAATTGAATATAGGTGCAATTTGGACAGCGTTGTTTTACGGTAGCTGAACAAAACACCACTCGTATAATAATAACAGGATATTAAGCCGATTTCAAGTGGCAGCAAAATTTAATAGAACACAATCGGCCACATAACGCCACACGGTATATACCCATTGTTTCCTAATACCATGAACCTGTGCATACTGAGTCATACATACATCATCATGAGTGAGACAATTAGACAGATCTATCTTATCGACCTCCTGATATCATCATGTTAATGTAGAATTGCTCGTCTCATCTAACCCGGCCCCTCGACGTGACCTTTACGGTGTCGTAATACAGAGACGTCGTATCACATTACAAACCCACACGTTCCGTGTCGTCGAATAACATTACAAACCCACACGTTCCATGTCGTCGAACAACATTACAAACCCACACGTTCCGTGTCGTCGTATCACATTACAAACCCACGCGTTCCGTGTCGTCGAACAACATTACAAACCCACACGTTCCATGTCGTCGTATCACATTACAAACCCACACGTTCCATGTCGTCGAAAAACATTACAAACCCACACGTTCCATGTCGTCGAATCACATTACAAACCCACGCGTTCCGTGTCGTCGTATCACATTACAAACCCACGCGTTCCGTGTCGTCGTATCACATTACAAACCCACACGTTCCGTGTCGTCGAACAACATTACAAACTCACACGTTGCGTGTCGTCGAATCACATTACAAACCCACACGTTCCGTGTCGTCGTATCACATTACAAACCCACATGTTGCGTGCCGTGCACACAGATTCAATGCACGCGGCTCCACAACACGACCGGACTATGGCAAACACGATACAACACCTTCTCTTCTCGCCTGCCTTGGTGGGATGGAGGGGCTATTACAGACGGCAAGAAATATCGCGCTACGCAGCAGGCATTGCAGAGCATTCGTAACGGTAAGGTTAGTAGCGGGGCTTGTGTAACTCTCAGTTGGACCGCCGCGATCGCATGTCATTCCGCTAGTCGTTCGTCGTGCGTTCGTTAGCGGCCCGGGTTTACCGGCGCGCTCACGGCGAAGCAATCCGTCCACTTCGCGCGGCCGCCGATCTCGACCTCGTGATTGACGTCCATCATTATTTTCTGATCGAATGATCGGAAACGCCATCACGAACTCAGCGGCGGCCGACGCGGGGTCGTCTCTAACATCGCCATTGGCCGTCAACGTCGCCGTTGGTCGTCTCTAACATCACCATTGGCCGTCGAGATCGCCATTGGCCGTCAACATCGCCATTGGCCGTCGACATCACCGTTGGTCGTCTCTAACATCGCCATTGGCCGTCGAGATCGCCATTGGTCGTTAACATCGCCATTGACCGTCGACATCGCCATTGGCCGTCGACATCGCCATTGGCCGTCGACATTGCCATTGGCCGTCGACATCGCCATTGGCCGTCGACATCGCCATTGGGGTCGACATCGCCATTGCCCGTCGACATCGCCATTGGCCGTCGAAGAACGACTGGGTTGATCTCGCGAACGACACCGAGAGAACAAGGTCAAAGATAATGAGGTCAAGTTCAAGGGCACAGAAAACGTGGTCAAAGTCAAGGGCACGGAAAACGAGGTCAAAGTCAAGGGCACAGAAACTGAGGTAAATGATAACAAGGTCAAGGATGCTTGGAGGGAAAACCTTGGTTAGTCCTGAGGACCCGTGGAAAAAAATCGAGAGAGGGATCCAAGCTTGGCAAGTTGCTGACTCAGTAGAGTTTCAGCGATACTTTGCAGTCCACTGCCCCCGACACCTTCAGACCAATCACGTTTCCGCTTGCCACGTACTTAAAGTTAAGAATTAAGACACTTTTGATACGTGTCAGTTCATTAATTAATTCATCATATATGTGATCATGGGATGATGAGGCAGTGAGAGATGAAGGAAGGAAGGAGGGACGGAGGGGAAAGGAGGCAATGAGGGAAGGAGTTGTGCGTGCTGAGGTGCAATCGATGACAATGATGACGCCGGGTGAAACAAAAACTCAATGTCAGACCACTGAACATCCGAGATGTTCAATTATTTAAACAGAAAAAACTACAGAATTCGCGCGCAAAAATCCAAGCTTGTTCCGCAAAACGGCGTGCGTCTCCGGTTCGCCGACGACGAAGGAGCGCCACCTAGCGGCGACCGCTGACGGTCGTCCACCCATCGTCCACGTCCTCGGCGCCGTCGGCAGGAGCGGGCCTCGGTGGCTCCATCTTCTGGGGTACTGAAAATGATCGACGTGTTAGCTAGCAGCTTGCGACGGATCAAAATCGCGAGATTTCGAGGTTGCGCCATTTACTTCGACGGCAAGAGCGCGTTGTCACTGTTACGAGTGTCGTCATCGACGAATATGAAACTATTCCCAGAGTGCAGCAAGCCGTCTGTGGGATCGGAAGCAGTGACGATGAATCCGAACCGATATGCTCTCTTGGGAGAATGCCAGTGGGATAACATTAAGATTCCACTAACGTACCGGTGCACTATAGACTTAATAATATGAGATAGTTACGTATAAGATAATTGCATTTATAATGTTATCCTCAATACTACAATAATAATAACATAACTTAATGACATGTCAGATGAAATCTTGCTTAGTGGGCTAGCTGACCGTACAGTCAGGACTGGAAGCGGACGGCCAAAATCGCCTCCCCCTTTCAGTCGTGGCTGGCCACAGCCGCACGATGCCACGCGCGCTTACCTCTGTCCCCGGCAGGTTCCAGCTTCCGAATATCCCTCGCGGGTATCCTGCGGTCGTCCCTCCGACCCCAGGCGTCGTCGCGGCCACCTACGTGCGAAAAACGCGAGAACTTAACGACGCGCAAAAACGCAAACGCGACGCCAAACGACGCACAATCAGACCGAGAGTCGAATCGAATCAAGCACACCACGGTGCTGAGCAGCCCTCACTGAACTATGCTACCATCACAGTATTGTGGATATTTACCTCCGCCAAGGGGTTGGCAGGAGGTTATGTTTTCACTGGCGTGTGTTTGTTCGGCGTGTGTTTGTTGGTTTGTGGGTTTGTGTACAGCCTAACTGGAAAAGTTATAGACGGATTGTCATAAAATTTTCAGGATAGGTCAGAAATGGCCTAACTTAGAATTGATGAGATTTTGGTGGTGATCCCGATCCAATTAATTAATTAATTAATTAATAACATTTTCAGGATAGGTCAGAAATGGGGTAACTTAGAATTGATTACGTTTTGGTGGTGATCCGGATCCAATTAATTAATTAATAAAAATTTTCACAGTGACAGAATTGAGCAGCCATGGCGGAGGACTGTGCTCTCCGAGTGCTCTAGTTCTTATAATGTAAAATGTATTATACATGTGTTTCTGGAAATAAAGGACATTATAATAAAAAGCGCACCGTGCTCTAGAGGAAACAAACTCCCTAAAAACAACAACAGCACACAAAGGAACCGCAACACGCGCGCCGAGCTCAAAACGCCCCCCGGAGAGGTACCGTAACAAACTCCACAACAACAACAACAACAACAAAGAAACAAATAAAAAAGCAGAGAGGCTGCGGAGGGGAAGTCGCCGTCGCCGCGTCGTTAGATCGATTAATTAATTATTATTATTATTAATTACCTCTATCGTCTCTCTCCTTCGGCGGTCCGTCTCTCTCCCTCGGCGGTCCGTCTCTCCTCCAGCTCTCCTCCTCCCTGCCGCGGGGCGGCGCGCCGTCGTCCATGTCCCGGTCCCGCGGAGAAGGACCGCTGTCGTCGCCGCCGCGTCGCCATGACGACCCTCCTCTCTCTCCCATCGGGGGGCCTCTGTCGTCCCTGCCCCTTTGCGGCCCGTCGTCGAAATCTCTGGACGGGGGACCTCTATCGTCGCCGCCGCGTCGCCACGACGACCCTCCTCTGTCTCCCATGGGGGGACCCCTGTCGTCCCTCCCTCGCTGCTGCCTGTCCTCGAAGTCCCGCGGCGGAGGGGCCCTGTCGTCGCCGCCCCGTCGCCACGACGACCCTTCCCTGTCTCCCATCGGAGGACCGCGATCGTCTCGCCCCCGCGGCGGCCCGTCGTCGAAATCTCGCTGCGGCGGCGGGGCCCTGTCGTCGCCGCCTCGTCGCCACGACGACCCGCCTCGCTCGGTCACGGGCGGGCCTCCGCCTCTCTCGTCGAGCCGCACGTCGCGCGCCATGCCGCCGCGACGCCAGGTGTCCGCCCGGTCGTCGCGGTCGTCCCGCCCGAAGCGATCGTCGTTTCCAAATCGGTCGTCCCGGCCGAAGCGGTCGTCGCGGGGGCGGCCGGCGGCGCCACGCCGGCCCGTCCCTTGTGTGTTCGTCGCGAGGACTGCGGCGGGCCCCCGGTCGTCGGCTGGCGAGTGCAGGGCGGCCTCTGTCCGCGGTGTCGGCGCGGCGGGCCCGCCCTGCCTCCAGGTCTCCTCGTCGCGCGGCGGCGGCGGCGGCCTGCGCTCCTCACGCCTCTTGCCCTCGTCCTCGCCCGGCGGCGGCCTGCGGAAGAGAGAAAGAGGGAGACGGCGTCAGTTTCAGCACGCACGCACGCACACGCAACGTCCCACATGCACACGCACAAGGCCACCCAGCTCTCCCTCCAGTCGGACGGCTCTAATTTAGCTGCTGCTTTGATACGTAATAGTTCGTTGCGCTACGTGCATTTTGATCCATATACGTGTTTAGGCCATGATAAAAATATTGTTTGTTTGCCCTCACCCGACCGACCCGCCAAAAAGGAGCGGACTCAAACATTTATATTGATTTTTTCCATTCTTTTTTCTTTCTTTTTTTTTTACAAATTGTATCACTGTACATTATATAAATCTGTAGGCAATACATTATATCAAGAGCGTATTAAGAAGGAGAGCGTGCAACGGTGAAATGCTGAAACTATGCTGCAGTATTAGTCGAATTTATAAACTTTGCCCGTTTTATTTTGACGATTCTTTGTGGTATTATTGATCAGCTGTCCTAGCTTGCTAATATGACACAAACCGCTTGTCCCTACGATGCCTCTAACCTGAGATAATGAGCGGTGAAAATCTGGTATTTTCGCAGAAAAACGACTCGAGATACGTAGTGGCTGCAACTGTCTCTCGTTCTGGCGACAACTTCGAGAAACCTCGCGTGTTTCCGTCATTCATTGACAATGAAATGTATTTTCCTTCTACTATCTTTTCTCGCATTTCCAGTCATTGACGCAGCCATTAAGCCCAGCGCACACGTGAGTTATTTTACTCAAGTAAAATAATGCACGAGTCATTTTACTCATGTGTGCGGCGGATTTTCGTTGAGTAATTTGACTCATGCGTCATTTTACTCACGTGTGCGGCGGATTTTCGTCGAGTAATTTGACTCATGCGTCATTTTACTTGAGTAAAATAACTCACGTGTGCGCCGGGCATTACTCCACAAAAACGTCTTGTTATTTATCGCCATGGTGATGACCCGCCCCTTACGCTAGATGTAGTAACGCTGTAGTAATAACGTATTGAGTCAGCGTTACACAGCGGCGACCGGAAGCAACATACAGTCCACAAAACAAGAGACAGTCGCAGTAAAACTGATCTCGAGTCGGTATTCGGCAAAAATACCAGATTTTGACCGCTCATTATCTCAGCGTGGAGGCATCGTAGGGACATGCGGTTTGTTTTATATGAACAAGGTAAGACAGCTGATCAATAATACTGCAAAGAATCATCAAAATAAAACGGGGAAAGTTTATTAAATCGACTAATACTGCAACATGGTTTCAGCACTTCACCGTTGTACGCTCTCCTTCTTTATACACTCTTGATTATATGTAACAAGCAAAACAAACATTCCACATAAACGGTATCCCCACACAAGTACACCTGAGCATGTAGACACCATGGATGCTGAATTTGTAAAAAGACCCCCCTTTGAGGGCAAACAAATGTTTTTTTAATTGTGGCCTTAGTCCGTGTTTTATCTGTTAATTCCAGTTCATAGTGTACCACGGTACCACCCTCCAGCATGAAGAAACGCACATGCACACATACGCACGCAAGCACATACACACGCATGCACGCACGCACGCGCACACGCACGCACGCACACACACACAAACCCGCCCACCCACACACGCACACACACACACGAACATGCATGCACACACACACACACACATACATGCATACACACACACACACACACACTCACACACAAACAACCTCCCACATGCACACTCAGCCACCCACCAACACACACTCCTCTCTCTCTCTATCTCTCTCACATCCACACACACACGCGCACACACACACACACACACACACACATAAGTCCACTCACCTCTCCCTCCAGTCGGACGGCTCCTGCGCCTCCTCTCCGCCCTCTTGGTCAGCGCCCGGCTGCGGTGGCTCCCTCCAGCGGTCCTCCTTTGCGCGCTCGCGATCCCTCCATCCGCCGCCGCCTCCGTCGCGGTTCCACGGCGGGCGGTCCTCCCCTCCTCCTCCTCCTCCGCCGCCTCCTCCTCCTCCGCCGGCGCGCAACCCTCGCTCCTGCGCGGCGAGTCTTCCTCCTCCTCCTCCGCCGGCGCGCAACCCTCGCTCCTGCGCGGCGAGTCTTTCCTCGACCTCCGCCTCGCGTTGACGCTGCTTCTCCGCCTGCTCCTCCAGCTTCGCCTGCTTCTCCTCCCACTCCGCCTGCTCGCGCGCCTTCTTCTCAGCCTCGGCGATCTCCCTCTCCTCGCGCTCTGCGGGAAAGAGAGAGGGGGGGAGGTGAGACCCTCGTTCTCACCCGTTCCCGCCCGGGCTTACTTCCCCTTCTGCCCTCCCTTTCTCCCCTTCACCATCCTCTCTGGCTAGTCTATCCAACCTTTGTGGAGGTGTTTCTCGTTGTCTCTTCCCTTTCCTTCTGCCCTCCCCTTTCCCCCCTTCACCCTCCTCTCTGGCTTGTCTCCTCCTCCTTCTGCACTCCCTTTTCCCCCTTTACCCTCCTCTTTGGCTAGTCTACTCAACCTTTGCAGAGGTGTTCCTCAACTCCTTGCCTCCTCCCTCTCCCTCTGCCCTCCCTTTTCCCTCCTCTCTGGTTAGTCTACTCAGCTTTGCAGAGGTGTTCCTCCTCTCCCTGCCTCCCTCCTCTCCTACTGCCCTCCCCTTTGCCCCCTTCTCCCTCCTCTCTGGCTTGTCTAGGCCACCTTTGCAAGGTATTCCTCCTTGTCTCCTCCTCCTCCTCCTCCCCTCCCTTTCTCCCCTTCACCCTCCTCTCCGGCTTCCTCTACCCTACCTTTGCAAGGTATTCCTCCCTGTCTCCTCCTGGTCCTCCCCTCCCTTTCTTCTCCATCACCCTCCTCTCCGGCTTCCTCTACCCTACCTTTGCGAAGGCGTTCCTCCTCCACGCGTCTCCTTATCTCCTCCTTCTCCTTCTGCGCGGCAAGCCTACGCTCTACCTTGCGTTTCTCCTTCCTCTCGTGCTGACGCAGCTGCCGCTCCTGCTTCAGATTCTTCTCAAACTCCACCAGCCTCTCCTGCGAGGTCGCGCGGGGGGAGAAAACACGAGAACGTTAGAGCATGCGAGGACGCAAGCGAACGCGAGAGCGGCGGCGAGAATGTCGGAAAACACAAGTACGTTAGAAAGTGCCCGAGGACGCGAGTGAACGCGAGAGCGACGGCGAGAATGTCGGAAAACACAAGAACGTTGGAAAGTGTGCGAGGATGCGAGCGAACGCGAGAGCGACGACCCAAGGTGAGGACGACGGAAAACATACGATACATCTATTACGAGCGTGCACAAGAAGCTTCCACACGTTGCACACCCACCTTGTAGACGTTCTGACGAGCCTTCTTCACGTACGGTACCAATAACTAACTAATTATTCAGTAATAATTAATAAATAAATGCTACCGTCGCCCGGCATCTGGAAACAAAGCTTTAGGCCTCGTCTCCACGTGGCAGACCCATTGACCCCATTGAGTCTTCTTCATGCACCAATAACTCTCCCCCGCGCACCGCAGCGCACCCACCTTGTAGACGTTCTGACGAGCCTTCTTCAGGTTGTCGATGAACTCCTGCTTGTCGCTTTCCATGCGCGTCAGCCGGTTGCCGTGCGTGAGCGCCATCTGGTGGTCGTCGACGAGGGCGGCGATGCGCTCGGCCTCCTCCTGCTCCCAGAACTGCTTGTCGTTCTCGGCTTCATCCTCGGCCTGCTGCGTGAGCAGGGGCACCTCCTCTACCCTGTACGCACGCGCCAGGTGGTCCACCTACAACACAGACAGACAGACTACTGCGTGAGCAGGGGCACCTCCTCTACCCTGTACGCACGCGCCAGGTGGTCCACCTACAACACAGACAGACAGACTACTGCCTGAGCAGGGGCAGCACCTCTACCCTGTACGCACGCGCCAGGTGGTCCACCTACAACACAGACAGACAGACTACTGCGTGAGCAGGGGCACCTCCTCTACCCTGTACGCGCGCGCCAGGAGGTCCACCTACAACACAGACAGACAGACTGCTGCGTGAGCAGGGGCACCTCCTCTACCCTGTACGCGCGCGCCAGGAGGTCCACCTACAACACAGACAGACAGACTGCTGCGTGAGCAGGGGCACCTCCTCTACCCTGTACGCGCGCGCCAGGAGGTCCACCTACAACACAGACAGACAGACTGCTGCGTGAGCAGGGGCACCT